GGTGACAACGTTTTTTCAACAATTGTTATACAACTTGCTTTCTGCAGCCTTTCTGCACAAACCCAGAAGAAATGTGAAAACCCAATTTACTAAAAGCCCCAAACGGCTTACATTTTCCACATTTAGGATTACTGAAGAAACATAAGAGGACAGAAGTCCCTGGATTGGCAAACCAACCCACCAAAAATCTTACTGAGGCTTTTAAAAAAAGATAAATTCTGAAGACAGACAATAATGAATCTTTCATAGATTAAAAAAAACTTTAAACAAATGCCAGAAGAGGTTTGAGTTCAGAGAGTTTCTGTCAAGCAGGCATAAATCTTAACAAGGCTCTTTCTGTAATAATCAAATGGATTTCTTCTACTGTAAACAGCATTAGATTCCCCCTGCCAGTTAAATATGACACAAATACTTGCACAGAAAGTTTCCAAAACTTTACATGAATAATATTACTCCTATTTTTGCAAAAGCAACCATAACAGAACAGACATTGAGCTGCACCAGAGAACAGCGCTGGGGGCACTAAGCTGTGCAGGAATAAATTTTCAGACGATCCCAGCAGAAAATAAATCCTGCAGTTTCACATTCTTCTGTGATGCCCCAGGGTCTGCCCCAGTCCCAAAGGACACATCCCAGCCATCTGCTCCAGGATAAAGGATGGTTTGCACCTGCCACAAGGAACCTTCTCTCAGAACTGAATGCTTGGCAATACGCATGTCCTCAGTAGCTATCTCAGGGTCAGCAGCCAACTCTCCTCGAGTTCTCCAAATGCTCCCTTCAAGGAGGGCTTGCACACATTGCTTAATGCAGATCCTCTGTGCTTATGGAAAGGACTTAAGGCTCGCCTTCATTTTACCCAGTCTCCAGCAGGCTGCTTCTGCTCCGGATACCATAACCAGCAAAGGCACAGCCCAAGGGTTCAACTCTCTGATCTGACAAAATCTGAGCTCACGTTCTGCTGGATCAACAGGCTGAACTGGCTCACTACAAGCCCAGGGAAAGGGGGCTCAGGAGGAAGACTGCTCCCTGTCAGCAGCAGCAGCTTTTCTGGCTTAAAGTCAATGTACAAATGCAGCTGAGATCGTGGCTCGACCTGCGTTCTCCAGAAGTCATTATTTCTGCTATTACTAGCTTTCCAAAAAGAAACCACGCTGTACCTTATCATAGAGATCAACACTGTAGCAAGCTGCTTTGTCAGGACATGTTTAGGACAGCAAGCATTCCTCCCAACTTTTACCAGGGCTCCTAAGGAACATCTCCTGCAAGACGATTCCCAGCCAGGTCACCTGCCTTACAACTGCACTATCCTACCTCATTATCCTCCAAGGCACAGGTAAGAGAAGCTACACATGGATCACACTATTGCAATGACCTTTTATGACCATTTTTCTCCCCTGCTCCAGTTACACTGTCATGAGACAAAGTAACTCAAAACTATATCAAGACAAGAAAACATGAAGGCTGCAGGACTCTGAAGTTTTCAGTGTACTTGAAAGAATAAAAGCCAAATGTTACAACTCCCTCTTTCTGTTTCTAGCAAAAGAACAGCATTAGAAAGCAGCAGAGCCAACTGGATGAAGCATTATGTATCTCAGGCCAAGGCAGTATCACCAATCTAGGCCAGCCACCGCATAATTACTCAAGTCACACTTCATAAACTCACATACCATACATCCAACAGATGACAATCTTCATCAAAAGCCAAAGAACCACACAGGCAGAACAGACTAGGACATATATGACATTCTGGATTTTTTTCCAATGAAAGAATGGAAATACTGCGTTGCAAATAGATGTCCTATATGGTTCGTCCACACTTCCCCTAAACTAAATTTAAGGAAGTTACCTAATCATAAAATTACTACCTCTTCCTGATTTAAACCTTCTCTCAAACCCTCATGTTGATTTGAATGCTTGAGCTCCTACATTAATCAACCCACTGCCTTAGAATTATTTTAATGTTTTCCCATTTCCTTTCCTCCCATTTGCCTTATTTGGTATTTCTGGTTTAATCTCAGTTGCAACCTCTTCGGGCATAAAGTACACCTACAAACGTGACTGTGGATTGACAGACACAAGAGGGCCCTTATCACTAAGGGGACCCTGACTGCAACGTTCCTGTAACATCAGTAAGTCACAGTACTGCTATAGAGAAGGAAATTACACTAAGGGCTGCAATCCTGGTTGAATTTCCACTTTGACATTCATGAGACATTTTTAACATTCTTCTTTTACCTCCCCAGGGAGTGGGCCGATGTCCCTGACTTGATATTCCCAGGCACACTTCCTAAACATAGAGGTTTCCCCAGTACATATCAGCACGTACTACAATCTTAGTTTCAAGCTTATGATGTTTTCCTAGCACAGTGACACTGACAAAGCCTATGAACTGAGGAAGACTCAGAAGCCCTAAACTTCCTAAAATGTCATTGTTACTCTCTCTCAAACAAAGGTCACACTGTTGCATGGGGAAGAAACAGTAACAACTCAAAAGAACAGTAAATACAAGAAAAGTACATCTTACCTAATGAGGTAACAGCACTTTCTATTTTCCCAGTCAGGAAGAGATTCACTGTGTAAAGACAGAAAAATAATGTTGATACAGGTTCCAGCGGCACAGGGTGGCAGTCAGTAGTTAACCATTTGTAGGTGTTTGCTGGGGTGTTAATATAAATACATTACAGTCTTCCAACAAGAACTTTGCTTATCTACACAAGCAAGTCATATAATCAATTATTATCCTTCACTGTACTATAGAAAAGTCAACACACATTAGTTTAGTATCTGTCAAATATGCTACCAGAAGAAACAACTGCCAATCTATCCTAAGTTGCCTTCTGCAGGATTTTTTTCAATTAGGAAAACAGAAGAACAATTACACTAAAACATTTGTCATCACAGCTAGTCACTTTACCTGCTTAAATGCCGGAAAATAACTAATGAGATTACTATCTTTAAATACGTCTCCTCTGAATAAAGCAAAGTTTGTTCCTCTCAGGTAAAAGTCACCTTGAAAATAAACTGCTAAAGCTAACACGATTACCTTGACTAATCAAGGGCAACAAATGGAAGTTTTCAAAAAGGTCCATTGGTAAAATCAAAACAGGATGAGGCGGTGCTTGCAACACACATCTGACTTACAAATTAGCCTCCAAATACTCTTCACTCTCTCAGAAGTCTCCTCTCACAGTATATACCATTAGAGTGATCTGATAAGAGCACTTATTGCCAAAAAAAATTTCTCCTGTGTCATTGTTGCTCCAGAGGTCAGCATTAACATTGTAGTTCCATAGTAGTCTCCCCATACGCTCTTTAAGGCACTTCTCTAACAATTACAGCATATTTCACTAACCGTTCTCATTTTAGCAGTATTCTGTAATCTACAAAGTCAGTCTATTAATAAAATGACAAATGTTTAAAAGAATTGGAAAGGTTTAAAAGGTTACCAAAACTTAATTTACAACATCCCAGACCAAGCACTCACTTTGGCTTTATTCTGTATGTGTTAAGTCCTAAATCTTTTTATAGTCAATCTGTTGGCAAGCATTTAGTAAAAAACGTTTAAAAATGAACAGTAGGAGATGAGAGGAAGAGAAACTGTCCCTGTTCCCAACAGTCACTTGGGAAGCTGCTGACAATTAACACTATTTATGTCTCAGAGTAGAATGTACGAGCACGGGCCCCCATTATCTTAGACACTGTCTGAACACATCACAAAACAATGACCCTGGCCCTGACTACCTTCTGGTACAACTTAAACCAGCACAAGAGGAAAAAAGTACCTAGTGCTAAAGGGGTGAAACAGAAAAGCTGAAAAAGATCCTTAACTTGCTGGTTTCAGCCCAGTCACCGTTTTCAGTCAGCAGTGGATCTGAACTATCACCAAATTGCAGCAGCCCAGGTGCTTATGGCAGTCCTTCCCTGACTTACGTCTGGATGACCACAATTTGGACTTTCTCCTTCCTGAAGCCAAAGGTCCAAGAGCTAAATGCAGACAGTGCTTTTGGCAGGCACACGGACTGCTACAAACCTCAGGCTGAGGCCAGGCCCCACAAACCAGAAAGAACAACTGCTCCTGGCATCACCCATCGCAGAGGACTTCAGGGTACTACCACAAGGGCAAGGGCAGCAACTTCTGGCTCCTTCTGAGTGGCTGCAGGATTGAACTTTCAGTAATGCACAAGGGAAGGAGGGCAACTAAATGCAGCATACGTATGCTGTGGCTTGAGAAGAAACAGGCCTGAGCTGCAGATTTGCGTTAATAAGCATTAACACTATGTTCAAAGGACCTTAACTGATTTTATTACATAATTATTGTACAGTAACATATTGTACAGTAACGTGCCATGTAATTATTTCCTTTGTTTCACAGAGCTAGTTTGCTCCAATAGGTCAGTAAGCACACCTAGGAGCAACACTACCATCCTGTACCAGGAAACAGCTCAGCTCCATTAATTCTTGCTCTGTGACAGAGCAGCATGTCTGATTGTGACACTTGGATCACAGCAATAACAGTAACACAACATTTTCTCACACCGTATTAAAGCACCGCTATTCCTGTAACCATAGTAATATAGTCATAAAGACAGAGAAGAAATTAACCAGTGATTAAGTCACAAATTCGATTCCATGAAAATTAAAATATTTTGTTTCGCTCCAAAGAAAGTACATAAATACACTCTGCCTAACTATTATCACCACAACTGAAAGGAGTGTTTGAAGATGCATTGTATGGTAACGTCTGGGTCTGTATTACCATTCTACAGTCCTTCTTCATATTTCCTTCCCAAATCTTCCTGATGGCCATAACGGAAGATGAGCTCCCAAGCAGAGGTTCCCTCACATGGCTGATGAGGGGCCCCTATGCCCTTTAAATGGAAATAAGTAGCATGAAGACAAGGGGTGTGACAGAGTGGAATTATCTGACTTGGAGCCACATTACTTTCTTCTGAGGACTGTTAAGCAGACAGTCCTAGCTTGCTACCAGGACAGAGTTATAGGCAGCTTTGCATGCCAGACCTGGCAGATACCTAAGAAAGACAACCCCCAAAAATACTCTTTTACCTCTGCAAATGCAAAACACCTATTGGATGCTGTTGCAAGCTCTTTGCTTTCATTTTCAAACTCTTTCACACTAAGAGGTCATCAGTCAAGAACAGATCTTTAAAATAGAGTCTAAGTTTCACATCAGGTACTTTCCCCAGCGGCTGAATAAGCTTACAGCTCCCAGTATCTGTTTTCCTCACTCTCGGTCTCACTCAAGACCGTCAAATCAAACCACAAGAGCGCTGTAACCCAGCATTTTCTGAAGCACTCAGCTCTCAAAAGTGTCCAAGGCCCAAAAGAAAGAACAGCCGTTCCCTGATGTTTTTTTTGTCTCTTATCAAAACAAAATCTTGTCAAAATAAAAACAGGTGGGAGACTAGGGGTATATTAGAAAGTTTTCTAAACACTTTTCTTCTTAGCTGTTGGGTAGTTATGGGAAAGCCAGAAAAAACAGCAGCGGATCAGTCAGCTTGAACTCCATGTAGGAAACTTACTGTGCCGTTCATTTGGATTGCTAAATAATTCTCAGGGTGAGGTTTTCAGCTGGGAAAGCAGTTATTTGGATCAAAAGAGAAATTTACATCTTGGCACCTCCGAACTAAATGACAGCTACCAGGCTTTTCCTACAGCCAGAAGGAGAGACACCAGCTTTGCTGTTTTGATTACTTCCTATTTGATAACTTTCTATGTCCTCCAGAATTTCTCAAGAATGAGGAACAAAATGGCCTCGTGAAAGAACAGTTGCAACAAACCCAGTTCCAGTCTTTGGAGCAGCAGTTTACAGACAAGGTCACATACAGCAATGGTCAGTGGCAGTGCATTGATACAGACACCAAACACCACATACAGCCTACGGGAAAACAAAAAGTAAAAGAAAAGAATGGCAAGAAGCAAGAACCAAAAATAAGGACAAAAGGAAAGGACAGACAAGCAGGAAGTAAAATACAGAAATAGTTAAATCAGCAGCATTATATTCTTATGGGTTCACTGAAGCAGAATACCTTACAAGCTTCCCACCTCTCATGTTTCTCAACTTCCACTACTGCCAGTTGTGCAAGGAATAGGAATAATACATTCCAGCTGAAAAGAAGAGCCAGACAGTGAAATTCTAGAAGTCATAGAAAGCAGAAATCTACTAAACTTTCAACCTGGCATTACCCACAGCTAAATACACCAAGTGTTCTCACTTAAACTCTGGAGTTTACATAATCTTTTATTATTATCTTACTAGTCATTTTAATAATAACCGTGCTATTTCTGTTAAATAACGAAAGCCTTAACAAAGGTCTGACCAGTCCACAAAAAAACCTCAAAAAATTCAAGAGATATGGTGGAAACTTTTATCTTTCTCTAACTTTAAATAAACAACGCAGCAGAAATTAACCTCACGCTGTGCACATCTCTGACATCCCTTTACGTCCCTGCAAAAAAAAGTGGTACTAGCTAGAACAGATGTTCAAACTGTTTTGTAGTTTTGACAGCTTTTTACATTGCACTCCCATTAATTAAAATAGATACATTTGAAGTAACCGGAGTATCTTTTAAACTTCAACTTCCTACATTTTTCTAGGCAAGCACCGATGTTAAAAAAATCACTTTAAAAAAACCAGAACGACCAGTCTGGCCACAGATACCCATTTCTGATCATTTATGTAATGATCATAATGGGAATTATTAAAAATGAACTCCAACCCACTTTATTAGCAAATAGCCATTGTTTTCGCACATTCTAGATCGAGGAGCTGCAACACCAAACACCCGTCAGGAGAGTGGGGAGCAGCCTCAGCACCGCCAAGCTGCACACAGTGCTTCTGGTAACGCTGCTCCACCACAATCTTTTGGCAGCACGCAGGAACGGAGCGGTCAGCTTTAACAACTCCCAATTTCTACCTGCCCCTGTTAAATACGCGGGCCTTTGGCTCGCTCGTTCTAGGCACAGGCGTCAACGCTTCTCCCGAACAAAAACCACCTTCCCTGACAGAAAGGGCTGACAGACTGGAAACCAGTAACACGCTTCATCACGCTGCCATAACTTAGCACCTGCTGCGAAGCAGAGCGGAGAGCAATTGCTTCAAGCAGAAGGGAGGGAGGAGAGCTGAATATGGCAGAGAAACACGGGGGGGAAAATGTTTTTCCACCCTGCCA